AAAAAAAACCGCTTGTAGCTGGCCTGCAGAGGATCTGCATCGGTACCAACGGCTGTATTATGATGGCCACCCCAACCCCGCTCTCCGTTTTCTCTCCCTCCCTCAATCAAATGCTCGGAAGTGCGCAAAGAAAAAAAAAGACCGAAACAAAAAATACCTAAACGCTTCTGCTCTCACCCCATCGACTATCACACAAAACACAAGTGTGCATGAAAGACGGGTAGGCCGCCAGAAAAGAATTAACCATCTTTCATGTGTATTTGTATCTGGATCGGCCCATACTAGCCGGTCCCCCCATTTTCTATTCTTCGCATATGCTCTTATCAGCGAACTGAAGACTACACAGCAGCTGCTAGTCGTACTAGGACTCTGATATAAGTCTACTGATATGCTTTCATTTCATGTTATTCCATTATATATATATATATATAATTCCACGCACATTAGAAGTTGTAGTCTCTTCCTTAATGGTTGCTCGCTGTTGTTGTGTACTCGTTGGCAAAAATCTATTCCTTACTCCCAGAAGAGACATTACGCACCCCAGCATGTTGTGCGGAAGACAATGGACAAGGACAGGTGATATATGTGTGTGTATACTGTCGGTAACTGCATTGTCTCGGCGTGCCCGCTTGCGTGCTGTTGCTGGTGTGACGGGGTTGTTCTCCCCATTGTGCAATAAACAAAAAGAATCTTCGCCTCGTGCTTCTGTACTGTCTCGTGGCTTGTTCTGTTCGGCCATGTTGCAATTGCATATGTGTATATATATATCTGTGCTTTTCCCCTCATTGGGCACTGAATTTCCCATCGTCAAATAACGTATGTACATGCTGAACTAATTATCATGTCTGTCTGTGTTGGTTTCCTTCTTTACCCACTTTCTCTCTCCCCCCTCTCTCTCTCTCACACACACTTTTTATTATTACTATTATTGTTTCCAAATAATAGTATGAGCACATCGAGTCTTCATCAGCATTACTCTTATTATGATGATGGTCTTTTTTTTTTCGTTTCGCCCGTGTTGCGTTGGCGTGCGGCAGGGACTCTGAGGGAGAGACGTCGACGCAGAACCGCTGCCCGACGCCGCCCCCTCGCTGTGTGTGTGTGTGTCCGCTGCGCCGCTCACGCGTGGCGGCGTTATTCGTGCGGAGCTCCACGCCCGGGGGCTTACCGCCCGAACTCATACATACATGCACGCAGAGGAAAGGAATATCGAGGGGGGAGTCATACGTTCTCTGTTTCCTTCGTGCAGACCTGCCCGTATGCCTTATTTCTCTCCACCCAGATTCAAAGGAAACGAAGACAAAACAAGGGGGAAGCGCGAAGACATAAAAAAATCGAGTTGATGTTTTCTGGTGTTGTTGTTGTAGTTGGTTATTGTCGCTGTTTAGGTGTTGTGTGGGTTTGCCTCTCTCTGTGGCAATATCGAGTTAGCGACAGCTTCTGTTGATTCTGTTTTTCATCGGTTTGTTTGTTTGTCTGTGTGTGTGTGTGTGTTTATGCTTATTTGTTGGCTTGTTTTTAAAACGATTATCTCGCTCATTCGGCAGCCTTCGCGTTGGCCTTTAGAAAGGCTGCAGAACAGGCACGCGTATGTGTGACCCTTACGCCCATCTTCCGAGGATCGTCATGACGATGGTGCCGAACCACAGCGCGGCGAACATGCCGAAGCGCTTCCAACTGCGGTGCCTCATGCCCATGCCGGCGAACTTGTTCAGGTCCGCCGGGAAGTCTACGAGCAGCAGCGTGAAGCCGAGGTACAGCAGGATGCCGCCGCACACCGAGTCGGAGATGGCTTCCACGGTGTTGAAGGTGGAGCCAGACATGTTGACGTCAACACCCTTGACGGTCGCCACGCCGATCGCCGTGCCGAGCGGCACAGACACGGAGTAAATCAGCGTCATGGCCAGCTCCACCAGCATACGCATCCTCGCTTCCGCGAGCCGCGAGCCCAGCGCGAGTCCCTCAAAAACCTGATGGAACGTCAGCGCAACGAGCAGGGCCCGCGTTTGGGCGTCATCCGCGATGCCGACGGCGAGGCCCAGGAAGACGCTGTGCAGGGCGAGGCCAAACTCCATGAATATCGCGGCAGCAACGCGACGCGCGCTGTCGAGGCGTACAGAACTGAGGGCCCCGTGGGAGTGGCCGGCACAGTCGTGCTCCGGCGCCGGCACCACGACGTCCTCCTCAGGCTGGCACACCCCATCAACTTCACCCGAGGATGGCTCACTGGGCTTGCTGGCCTCGCGGCTTATCCAGTTCTCAAGCACGGCATTCATCTGGGAGTCCAATGCGTGCATCAGCATCGCCGCCGCCATCGCGAACGTGAGAGAGTACGCGTCAAACGAATCACGAAGCACATCTGGTACACAGGGCTTCATGAATCCAAGAACGCCATTGTTCATCATGTGCACCAATGCAACAGCCATCACCACACCAGTGGACACACATTTGCCGGTAACGACCACAAACGGGTGCAACTGCAGGCATGGTACGTAATTCCCGAGAAGCGGCAGCATCGTCCCGATGAAAGAGGCAATCAGGAGAACAAAAATGGCCACCACGTGCAGACCGACGGAGTAGCTGCCCTCTTCGGCATCACAACCACCGAGGGCATTCCTACTCATTGCCGGTGCGATGCATTTGTTGGCGGTCAGGTTTGCCTGGAAAGCGGCGTAAACCGACAGGAGCCCATCGCAAGGATCGGCGCTGGCCATATTGTCGGAAGAGGCGAGAAATGAGTTTAGGCTTTGTGGTAGAGTAGACCTGCTCCAAACAAGCGAAAAAAAAGGCAATAACAACAACACCCCCACACACCAAAAAAAAAGCCAAAAAGGGCAGACGCAAAACAAAAAAGCAAGCCTGAAGAAGAAATGAAGTACAACAGTGTGTGAAAGAAACACGAAAAAAAAAAACCGCTTGTAGCTGGCCTGCAGAGGATCTGCATCGGTACCAACGGCTGTATTATGATGGCCACCCCAACCCCGCTCTCCGTTTTCTCTCCCTCCCTCAATCAAATGCTCGGAAGTGCGCAAA